GGGTGGGAAGGGGAACCGGGGGAATGGGGGTGGGAATGGGGGTGGGAATGGCGGTGGGATGGGAACAGGAAGGGGCCTGGGGATGAGCACAGGGCACCCTGGATGGGGATGGACACAGGGATGGACCCGGGGATGGGCACAGAGAATACCAGGGACACACCTTGGATGGGGAAGCCCTTGGGAGCTTGGCCAGGGATGCACAGAGAGGATGCTCAAGGACACATTCTGTACAGGGATGCCCAGGGAAGATGGATGCCCAGGGAGCTTGCACAGGGATGCATGGGGGGGATGCCCATGGGAGATGCCCAGGGACACATCCTGCACAAGGAGGATGCCCAGGGAGAAACACCTTGCAGAGGGATGCCCAGGGACACACCCTGTGCAGGGATGCACAGAGTGTCCATGCTGGGATGGAGGTGTGCATGGAGCCTGCAGATCCTGTGGGCCAGCTGGGGTAGCCATGTTCCTCCTGGGAAGTTTGGCATGGGAATCCATTATCCAGGCCAGTTCCCAGAGGTGGGACCTGCTCCTGGCTGAGGCTCAAAGCCAGAAGGAGAAGAGGCGATTGGCCTCCCAAGCTGCAAGACCTCGTGACCTTGTGACATTCCCACGGGGAAACCTCTCCTGTGTTCTTCCCCTCACAGATAATCCATGCAGGAGAGAAAACAGAGGTGTCTGAGGCTTGGATGTGAGAGCAGGGGATGACTGGGCTGACACACCATCCCAGAGGATGGCATGGAGGAGGATGCACAAAAGAGCCACCAATGTCCCAACACTGAGTCCTGTCCCCTCCGGCACCAGGGAGCAGGGATAAGCTGCCCAGGCTCGGCTTGTGAAGGGAGGCACCTTCCTGCACAGGTTCTGCAAAGAACTGAGGACCTAAATTCTAAATCCCAGGGAGACATGAAGGAGAAGGGATGGCACGTGTGAAACGTCTTCAGTTGGCCTCAGGAGCAGGGGAATAGGAGAGGGCTGGGACACAGGGAGAGGGGACAGGGCAGGGAGCAGAGCCTGCCAGCACGGGAGCATTTTGTGATAGCGAGTGAGCGGGCGGTGGGTGGAATTTGCTGGCTGTAAACACAAACTAAAACACACCCAGCGGGAATAAGCAAACAACCCTGAAGGGAAACGTGCTTCCAGATAGTTATTACCCTTGCAGCTGCTGTGGCCACCCCGAGTATGGCCAATACAAGGAGCCATACAGGGCACAGGATGTCAGGGGAACGGGTGCTGGGGGTGAGCACAGAGCAGGACCAGACCTCACTCTGCTGCATCCCGTTGTGCAGCAGGGTTGGCAAGGACAGGGAAAAGCACAGCAACCAGTCCTGTTGGCCAGCCATGAAAACTGGGTACCTCACACCTGGCACAGGGAGCCTTGGCAGTAACTGTGCCGGGGTGCTGCCTGCTGTGTCCCCCGGGATCCTGCTGGTACCCAGAGAGACAGCACCTCTTGCTCAACCAGCCTCTCCCTGCAAGAGTTTCTCATGACAGAAGTTGCACAGAGAGGGAGGGGAGGGATAGAGTGAAGGATGGAGTCTGCTGACCCACATGGTGACACTCAGCTTGTGTATGCTGGCCTGGAGCTGTCTGGCTGTTCTGTGATGCTCCTCGGGGATGGGAACAAGCCCCCTGGCAGCAGCGGGGTGACAGGAACAGCTTGTGTGCCACCAGCAGCCCCAACCCAGAAGGGTGAATCCATAACCCCCCAAGGCCTCACTCTGCAGCTTATCTGGGGCTCAGTGCTGGAGCAGATCTGGCACAGCAAGGATCTCCATCTCCCCATGCCATGCTGGGGTCTGTTTGCCAGCTGGCAGCCAGCTGGCCACGAGCCTGGGGGCAAAGCTGAGCCGTGTTCACACCATGAGGCAAGGCAAGGATGGGAATTTGCACAGCGACAGAAGATGAGGGTCCTTTGCCCTTCCCTCCCACATCCTGAGCACCAAGAGCATCTTGTTCTTCCCCAGCCCAGTGAGGCACCCGGAGGGAACTGCTCCAAAGCTCTTCCCTGAGCTTTTTGGGGGGCAGAATCACAGAGTCTTATAACGTTTTGGGTTGGAAGGGACCTCAAAGATCACTTAGTTCCAACCCCCAGCCCTGTTCTCTCTGCAGCTGCTCACCAGGAGCCATATGGGTGAAGCAGGGAAGCCAAGAGCAGAGCCAGGTCCCACAGCACTGGGCTGTGGGGTGTCAGCTCTGCCCGGGAAGCTGTGGCAGGAGGGTTCTGTTCCTGCGAAACCTCCACCAGCGGGAGGGTCCCTCCCGGGCCACTCCGAGAAAGCCGTAGGGCCCCGAGGGCGTTGCTGCCATGTGGGAGGGCAGGGGCTTTCGCTGGAGAATATCCCCTGCAGGGCCCTGCTCTGTGAGATGCGTGTGAGAGACAAGGACAATAGCAGCGCTGTGCCAGGGCCGGGCTCAGCCCTTCCGCCCCAAATCCCGGAGCAAGCGGAGCTGAAGGGCAGCACCTCCAGCAGCCACAGCTCCTTTGCCCCAGCCCGGCCCACGGGCACACACAAAGGCAGGATATTGCACCACTGCCTCCTCTGTCCCTCGCAGGGGCCACTGCCAGCAGCAGGGGGAAGGAGAGAGGGAGCCTTGGGGCCGTGAGCAGGGATGCCCTCTCAGACCCCTCCTGGGGTTCCGCAGCACCACAGGTGGGTCCTGTGGGCTGGAGGAGCAGCAGCCCCCCAGCCTGGGGCACTGTGGCAGCTGCAAGAAGCAGCAATAGCTCCACAAACCCTGGTGGTGCCACCTCAGTGGGTTTTGCACCTTCAACTCTGGGGTCCCCGAGACTGTATTTGTCCCTGCTTTGGTGCTGCCAGCCCCGGGTTCTGCCTGCTCCGTGCTGAGGATGGAGAGGGAGGAAGGCCATGAAGGTGGGAGGCCCTCCAGGACAGAGGGATAAAAAGACTTCCACAAGGTACAGGGAGACTCCAGGTGCCATCATGGTGTGGGGTGAGAGTGATCAAGCTGGGGAGGACCAGGGTGAAACTGAGCCAGGGCTCCTTCCCCTGGGACCCTGCAGAGCCCCGGGGTGGGGAGGAGACCTCAGCTCCTGCACTGCCTTCCAGCTCAGCAAAATCCATCCAGGAAAAGGTGAGCCTGGAGCCACTCTCCAGCACAACCTGGAGAAGAGGAGGAGGATAGAGGAGGGATCCTTCAAACCCCTCCATAGAGTCTGGGGAGGAGGCAGAGCGGCTGGAGGGACACCCACCCTCACACTGCCACAGGTTTCTCCAGCTACCACCACCTGCCCTTCAGGAGTCTCCTTGGACATCTCTGCTGGGGAGGCAGCTACAAGTACACTTGTGTAAACAGGGAAATCTGTTTCTCTGCAAACCTCCCAGTCACCGGAGTAGCTCATCCAAAGTCCAGCTGCTCAGGGGTTTATTACCCAGCGAAGCAAATTGCTTCGTATCAGTTGTCCCCTGCCCAGAGCTGTCACTCGCTTTGTTTGTCAGGTATAACAAGGTTCAGGAGCCCTGGAGACTACACACAGTTCTTTCTCACCAGAAGGAGTGGTGAGCCCATGAACTTTGCCTTCCTAAACACTGCCCTGCTCCAAAGGGCTTCCAACCCTCTCCAAGAAGCCCTGCTGGGCCAGGCCCAGCCTTTCTCCTTTCAAATACCCAACTGTAAGGTTTCTAAAAGTTTCTGGTTCTTTCTGATTAAAATAATCCTTCAGGAGATTTGTTTTTCCAGCTGTATTTACACCGTGCTGGCTACAGATCTCCCCTTGCTGCTTCTCTCTGGGGGTTGTCTCCTTGGAAAAATGACCCATCACCTCTTGCTGTGTCCCACTGCCACCACTGTACAGCTGAGCTCTCACTTGGATTTAGGCAGTGACACACACAGGTGGAGGAGGAAAACCCCTCGGCCTCGGAATTCTCCAATTCTCCAAGCCCCGGAGTGCTCTGGTTACTAAAGGACACGTGGAAGATGGTGACCAGCTTTGGACGATACCAGAGCAATTCCTGCCTGGCCAGCGAAGGCTGCAAAGCCTGAGCTTCAGCCGTTTAATCCTCACGGCTCAGAAACACCTATGGCCGCACCAAACTGCCGGCTGGGGCCAGAGGTGTCAGCGAACAAACCCCTCGTGGTGAGGATAAACACCTCCAAACCGTAGGAGATGGCCTCAGGAAACACGGAGGGGGCTGGAGGTCTTAACGAGCCTTGTGAAGCCAGCGCTTCCCTGTGTCTTTTCCCTTGCTCTTCCCTGGCTTTCCTCCCCACAGCCGCGAGTCTGTGCCTGCTCATCCCTAGCAACACCACTGTCCGCCCGCCAGGGCCCCGAGCTTTCATCTGCCGCGGCAACGCCGCGCTCTCAAAGGAGCCTTTTCGCGGGGCCGGCAGTCCCCTGGCACCTTCCAGAACCTTCTCCAGCTGCCACCTCTCACTTCAAGAGTCAGTGGGGTGCATGGACACGCTGCGGCTGAGGGAAAAACGGGACCAGCAGGGGCTGGAGCAACCCCTCCGTGGTTTACTGGCACTGCGGGAGGACGCGGGGCCAAAGGGCCGCTGCTGCTGCTGCTCCACCATCTCAGGCCCCGCTGGGGGCTGTGCGGGAGCTGCGAGACAAGGGGCTCCCGGCAGAGCCGCGCAGGCTGCGGGGGCATCGCGGGGGGCACACGTTACCGGTGCGGGGCAGAAGGGGCAGCAGAAGGAGCGGCACAGGGGCAGCACCGGCGGCCCCGCTCGCTCAGCCCGGCCCGGCCCCGCCGCTCCCGCACGTCAACAGGAAACCGCACGCGGCCCGACTGTAAACACCGCCCGCGCCCACGTGACTGCCGGGCCCCGCCCCCCGCCTCGCGCGCGGCCCCGCCCCCGCCGCCCTCCCATTGGGCGCCGCGCCGTTGTTGACCGTATACGGTCAGGTACTACGGAGCCGCGGGAGCCGATTGGCTGGCCCCTCGCGTCACTCAGCGCGCGCCGGCGGCTCGGCAAACAAAGCGGGGCCTGCCGGGAGTTGTGGTCCGCATGGGGGGAGGGCGGCGCGGCGGGAGAGGGGCGCGGACTACAGGCCCCAGGCGGCGCCGCGCGGGCCGGGCCGCGCCGGCCCCGCCCCCCGGCGGCCGTGGGCGGGGCCGGGGCGGGCGCCGTGAGTCAGTGCCCGGTAAACATTGGCGTGAGCCGCCGGCCCCGCCGTGCTGGCGGCGCCCTGAGGGCGGCGGGGGCCGCGGCCATGGACGAGCTCAAGCACCAGGTGATGATCAACCAGTTCGTGCTGGCGGCCGGCTGCGCCGCCGACCAGGCCAAGCAGCTGCTGCAAGCGGCCCACTGGCAGTTCGAGGTGAGGCCGCCGCCCCGGTGCCGGTCCCGGGCGGGGCCCCCGCGTGGGGCGGCCGTGGTGGTGGGGGCGGAATTCGGGCAGCGTGGGCCCTGCGGACACGCTGCTTCTCCTCCTCTCCGTTCGCCCACGCTTGGCGGGGCCGGGCCGGGCCCCCCGTGGGCGCCACGCGGGGCGGGGGGAGCGGGGCCACGTTGCGCGGGGGGAGGCTGGGGGGGCAGCCCCGCCGGACCGGGGGAGCAGAACCCTCCTCCTGTCCCCCCCCCCGCAGCCCGCACAGACCCTCCCGTGTGGCCGTGGGCTGTGAGAGCCCCGCGCAGCCTTTCCCACGGCCCTGCCCCGGGGAGTTCTGAGTACCTCGGGCGGCCGTGGGAGAGGAGACTTTGTAGGTCAAAGCTTTTCTGGCTCCCAGACGCCTTTTTTCCCCTCGCCCGCGGGCGGGATACTCCGTGACATTGACAGGGGTGAACGCCGGGCGGGGGGCGCGGGGGGGACTCTTTCGGGGCGCTCTGAGCCCCCGGAGCTCCCCGGAGCTGAAGTGCAAAGGAGCAAAGAGGTGTGCGGTGGCTGTCGCCGGCAAACTGCTTTCTAGAGAGGATTTTTCCTCTCCTCCCGCGGCCCCGGCAGCTCCCCGGGCTGGAGCTGATGGTTTTGACGCTAATGGCACCTCGGTAATTGAGGTGCCTGCGCTGCGATGCGGGAGCAGGTCTAAGCCAGGCCGGGGAGCTGGAGGCTCCGTCTGTGCCATCCCTGCGGCTGGAGCCTCTCTCCCCCCGCCCGGGTGGGCGCCGGGCTCCTCGGCGGCGTTCGGGGGCTGTTCCCTAAGGGGAACGGTCTCGGGATTCCCGGGTGCTCAGTCAGGCGTGCCGAGCCGAGCCGTGCGTGTCCGGGGAGCGCGGGGTGGGTTTTTAGGGATGTTGGGGAGGCCGAGCCGCGTTGCCCTCCACCGCGTCCCACTGCCGGGAGCACCGTGGCGTGGGATGTGCTGCATGTGTAGCGTGCTCTGGGGTTTGTTTACTAACACAGCCTGGCTGTGTGGCCCTCTGGGACAGGCGGGAGCCGCTTCCACCACCTCCGTGCGTTGTCGCAAAAGAGCTGGGGAGGGGATGACAAAAGTTTAACTTAACTATGAAAAGGCGCTTTTTTTGCAGAACTTTGCCACCGTTTGGCGAGTTGCACAAGTACAAACAGCCGTCTCCTGCCGGCTGGGCACTCACATGACTCAGAGGAAGCTGGGCTGTAAACAAACGCTGCGACGACGAGCCGTTACCATGTTCCCACTCACTTTTGGTGCAACGGTCAGATAATTCCCTTTGCAAAATGGCCGCTGGGCACGGCTCCTTCTGGGAGCCACGCTGGGGAGGGAGCACCTCCCGACCACTCCTGCCCGCTCCCACCTCTTGCCCGGGTTGCTTTTGTTATTCTGGTGCAGCACCCGTTTGCTGGCTGGTGTGTGCCTGCACTGGGTGTGAATTGGTGGGGTTCAGGCGGGTTCAGTGGTGTAAATTAATAGTGCCCTCCGAGCCAAAGTGCTGCTTCAGGGGCACGGTGTGAATTGGATCAGCCTGCCCGTACCCTGAGGGTGTTGATTCTGCCTGTAAGACCATCGTGGGCAGAGGTGTTCTGCGCAGGGGGGATGAGGGGAGCTGAGTGGCCCAGCAGCACAACAGCAGGAGTTGGGGGTTCTCCCAGCTCTGTGCCTCTGTCCTGGCCAGGGCACTCCTGGCACCCATCTGCCCTGCCCAGGACCTTCCCTGCCTGTAGCAGCCCCTGGGTGTCGGTCATGGGCAGGAGGGAGAGGGAGGCTGCTGTGAAACACAGCTTTGGGATGCTGGTATTTTGGGACCACTTTCCTGGGCTCGAGCTGCTTTGGGGCTGCTCAGGGGCACTTGTATGTGGAGGAGGATGCAATGGGGGCTGCAGAGGGGTTTTGCTGCATGGAGTAGGGTGAAGGAACATCATCCAGCGAGCAGGGTGGGAGATCAGGAGAACATTTGGGATACAGCCACGTTCTGTGTGGTGTGAGCTGATTGGAGCCTGTACTGAGTTCAGGGGCTTGACCAGGGAGCCATTTGTTTTGCATCCCATCCGTCCCTGGGGAATGGGGCAGCAGTGTGTGGATCACCTCTCCCACTCACTGTGACTCCGTTCCTATTTCCTGGGGACGGTGGGCAGGGGTTTTCCTGTCATTCCTGGTGTAGTTTGCAGCCCTTGCAGCACCGTGAGCCCTTCCAGGGACAGCTGCCGTGGGTGCCAGCCGGAATGGTGGTGCCAGCCCAGCCCTCCAGCAGCTGGAGCAGTGCCATGACTGGTCGCAGGGGGAGGTTTACAGTTCAGAGGAAGCAGCTTGGAGTGTCTCTGGCCCCTCCAGGGCCGCAGGTGTTGGCTTTTTGGGAGAAGCCAGAGAGAGCAGCAGGTACCTCGTCCATGGCTGGAACCCAGCAGGCTGCTAGGCAGTGTGCAGGGTCTCACATGGGGCTGAGCAGTGGATCAGGCAGAAAGGTGTTGTTCAGTTTTGTTATGTGCTCGTGTCCCCTGGGGCTGCTTGGGAAGGATAAGATGAAATCTGCTTTTGTAAAAGCACACTTTCCTTCCTTTTCCTGGTGCTAAGCATGTCTCTTCAGTGTAGCAAGCCTGTGTGTGGGGAACAAGAGAAGGAGCAGGTGTCTGGCTCTGCTTGCTGTGCCCATAGTTGGATTTCCACTTCCTCTTAAGTATTTATGTCTTATGAAGCCCCTTCCTTTGTGGCTCAAGGTCAGGGTGCTCCCAGGGCTGCTCCAGCACTGGGGCTGCTGGGTCCCCTGTACTGGTAGCAGGTACAGCACACACCTTCAACCACCTTCTCTCTGACTGGGTCACCACTCTTGGCACCCTGGCAGGGTACCCTGTGTGATCCACCTCCTGTGAAGCTCCTGGTTTTGTTTCCGGGGGGGGGGGGGGGGGGGATACAGAGGCCTGGTCACCTGCTGAGTGTGACAGGAGACAGGGGCTGAGCTGGGCTCGGGCTCCTCAAGCAGAGAAGCCTTAATTGGCTTTGCTGTTGCACCAGTCACCACAGCACTTGTGACGCTGGCTGGAGACCAGGTGGCACAGGCAGCTTTGGTTACATATGTGTCCCTGGCACACTCCGAGGGGGTGGGAGCGGGTCCCTCCTCTGCAGGGCTGGGGCTCTGCAGGTCCTGGGTCCCTTGGGAGGTGGGCATTGTGCTAGGCAGAGGGGTTGCTCCTGCCATGCTTGGAAAGGGGCAGATGGAGGGGAGGGGACACTCTTTTAGGCAGAGTGGCCTGCACTGGTGGAGTGTTTCCTCTGCCCAGTCCCAGCTGCCATCCCAGCGCTGGCAGGGATCGGTGGGCAGCTCGGGGGGACAGCGGGGACCTGCTCAGCCCCTGTCTGCCAGTGGCACAGTCCAAGATACGAGGCCACTTGGAAAACAGGAGCACAGAGCAGATTTAATCAGCTTATGGTATCTGGCTGCGCCCACACCTCTGCCTGTGCTTCCCGTTCGCTGTTCCCCCCTTTCTTATCAGGATCTGTCGGAGCGATAGGGCCTGTGGATGTTGACATCAGACCTCACCCAGGACGAAGGGTAGCGCAGTGATGGGGGTGTCTCTGCCTCAGAAGTGTCTGTTGGACATTTCCTTGATTCTTAGATGTGTGCTGGCCTGTTCAGAGCTCTCTCTGGGCCCACAGACCCTATTTCTGCTGTATGGCTACCGTTTAGATCCGGCAGGTCCTGCCTGCGGGCGCTGAGGGCTCTGAGTTCCCAGCCTGGCTGGGTGCAGGGTTCGGGTGTGTGTTATTAAATGCAGCTATTGCAGGGAAGAGCCTTGCCAGCCCAGCTATTGCACGCTCCCCCCAAGGTTTGGGAGCTGCCAGACTGTGCAGCAGGAATTGCTTCCCCCACCCAGATCTGGATCATTGTTTGCAGATACTGCTCTGGCTGCCACCTGGTCGTGCCAATAGTTTTCTGCTGTGTAGCCAGGAAACCATAAAACCCTTTGCCTTCCCAGGGCCTGCCAGCCTGGGTGTTTGGGGCAGAATTAGTTTTCCATTGGATCAATGAGCTGAGCTGACTCACTGTCATTTATCCCAGCCCTGGGAATGACACAGGAGCATGTGGGCACCAGGATGAAGAGCATGTGTGGTGGTAGGACTGTGGCTGCTGCAGTTGGGTAGGGTTTGGTACAACCTCCCTCTCCTTTTTCCAGGCTTTTCTGCTTTTTTTTTTTTTTTTCCCAGCAGCTTGGGTAACCCCAATCTCTGGCTTGTAGGAAGGGAGCAAAGTCTGGGGTGGTGTGGCAGCACCCAGCCCCAGCCCTGCTCCTCACACCCTGCCTTACAGAGCTGCAGGCCCTGGGGAGAGGGCTGAATGGGACACATGGGGGCTTTTCCTCCAACCAGAACTGAATCCAAACCAGTTCTCCAATATTTCCATCAAGTCTGATCTGCAACTGAATCAAAACATTGTTTTCTAGCCCTGACTTGGTTAAAGCCTGGCACAGAACAGGGGTCAGCTTCACTAACATGGAATCACAGAATAGTTTGGGTTGGAAGGGACCTTGAAGATTATCTTGTTCTAACCCCATGCTGTGGGCAGGGACACCATCCACTAGACCATGTTGTTCCAAACCCCATCCTGGCTTTGAACACTCCCAGGGATGGGGCAGCCACAGCTTCCCTGGGCAACCCGTGCCAGGGCCTCCCCACCCTCACAGGGAAGAACTTCTCCCACTGTTCCTGTATCAGTTCAGTTCTGTGCACCCCCAAAGCTCCTGATGCCTCTGCTCCTCCCAGACCTGGGCTGGGTGTCTGCCCTCCTGGCCATGCTGTTCCTCCAGCCTTCTATCCCTGCAACCCTCCTTGTTCTCTCACGTGCCTGTGGCATGTGACATATTTACCAGACTGTTACTGGTTTTAACTGGAAGCCAACCAGGACAATGTCAGTCATCACCGTGCCCCGCCTGCGACCGAACTGGAAATGCTCTGGTGTGTGAGGCAGGCACTTGCTGCATCCCTGGGGATGTCCTGGTGGGAATACAGTGACCATGATCATGTTCTGTTAAGGACACACATTTAACTGGTTCCTGCTGAGGCTGGGTTTGGTTTCCCTCCTCTCCCTGCACACAGTGATTGCAGAGCATGGCTGTGAGTTGTGAAATGCATGCCAGGCTCTGCTCCAGCAGTAGCTGCTCCTCAGAGAGGATGGTTGTCCCAAATACACGTGGCTGTCACCTTGCCCTGGTGCAAGCAGATGGTAGGCATGGGTCCCTGCCTGGGGACAGGGAGCAGCTGTGCCCAGCACCCTCCTGTGCAGGCAGGGGCTGTGGGTATGGTCAGCCCCCCAGAGCCTGTTTTTGGATCATCTGTGGGGTCTGTCAAAGCCCTGCCGCTGTGTGCAGGGATGAGGTGGGTGCCGAGTTTGCTTGCTGGTGGTAACACCATCTTCCCTTTTTTCTTCTTGCTTTCAGACTGCTCTCAGTGCTTTTTTCCAAGAAACAAACATCCCCTACAGCCACCACCATCAGATGGTAAGTGCTTTCACAGCTCCCCAGGGCGCAGCACCAGCTGGCAGGCGCTTCAACCTGGTGCCGGTGTCCAGCTCGCTGCTTCCCAGCCCCAGGAGTGCAGGCAGGGAAGTCTGACCGGGCACTGCCAGAGCTGCCTGCCAAGGGAGGTTTTCCTGGAGAGCAGCTGGTGCTACATAGTGGGACAGCAGGGCTGGGAGTGCCCTCAGAGCCCCGCAGAGGGGTTGGGGCTGCACCTCCAAGAGGGATGGTCTGATGGAGGATGTTTTGGGCATGGCCAGTGGTCCATACCAGCCCCAGCATGGGAGAGAGAGTGTGGAGGATCCTGAAGCACTGACCTGTGTAAACACACACACACAGATACGTGGTGTTTCCCACCAAGCAGCAGCCACACACACGAGTCCTTGTGTGCTCCCTGGAGCGTGCAAATCCCTGGAGCCTCACTGGAGCGTGCCTCTGGAAGTGTGTAAACACAGGAGAGCATGGGTGCTGCCTGCCTCTGTGCTCTTCCAGCTGTCCCCAGACTCAGTCCCTCGGCTCTCGTGCCCCGGCAGCCTGTAATCTGCTTGGGCAGATGTGTCTTAGGGATTTACTGGCTGCTGTGGCCTCGTTTGACTCTCCAGGACAATTGGAGATTTGGGGCGTGCAGAGCAAGTGCCCGGCAGGGCCAGAGCATGCCCAGTCTCTGGCAGTGGAGTGGGAGCTGGGCCTGTGTCTGGTGCCCACCAAGTCAGAAAGCTGCAGGCCCAGGGTGGCACCAGCAGGTTGTGGAGCAGAGGGGGTCCCTGAGTTGGGTGGGTACAAGAGTGGGCACAGAGGGTCCTGTCTGGGCCCTCTGACAAGAGCTCTCACCACAGCATCAGTTTAGACCCTTAAATAACAGCGTGGTCAGCAGAGCGCGGGTCTGGGGGGGGTTCCCTGTGCCACAGCAGTGGGGGCAGAGGGGTCTGTGTGCCCCAGTGGGAGGCAGAAGATAGAGACCCCCCCGCCTGACCCCGTGTCTCCTTCCCGCAGATGTGCACTCCCGCCAACACGCCGGCTACGCCGCCCAACTTCCCCGACACCCTCACCATGTTCTCCCGCCTCAAGGCTTCCGAGAGCTTCAACAGCAGTAGCCCCGTGGCCTCCATGGCGACCTCCCCACCGCCCCCGGCCCCGCCGCTGCCCCAGCACGGGGCCTTCAACCCCGCCTGGCCCACGGCTTCTCCCCCTGGCCAGCAGCAGAGCATGTGGACTCCGGCCGCGCCGGCGCAGCCCGCGGGCTGGCCCGCCGCTGTCTCCCAGCAGGCCACCGCGGAACAGAAGGCCAACGTGACCATGGAGGCAGAGAGATGAGGCCGCGGCCAAGAGCGAACGCGGCGGGGAGGGACCCCTGCATATAAATATTATTTTTTTTTTTCCTCCCCCCCCCTCCCCAAAGAGGAGAGGAACTCTGCTGCCAGGGCGTCTGGCAGCTGCCGAGACACACGAGAGAAATAGCTGCCTTGCATGGGTTTGGTTTGAAGTAGTTTTTACTTGTTCTCGAGCTGAATGGAGCTCCCCAGAGACAGCGGGAGGCTGCGTGGGACCGGTGCCAGCCTCCACGTGGGACCCCGCCGCTGCCAGACTCTCCGGGAGGGAGCACCCCCTCCTCTCCTGGGACACCGGAGTTTGCATGCCAGTGACATTTACAGAGGAGGTCCCTTCTTCAGGGTCCCCTGGGCCACCCCACTAGGCCAAGTGGGTTGTGCCTGAGTGTTTCCCCCTATCCCTTGGCCCCGCTCGACTGGGTGGGGGCAGATACCCCATGAGGCTTGTTTTTTGTAAGGGGTGAAGAGAGCAAGGGCTGTTCCTGCTCCACCACAGCCTCCACCCTGCACACATCATCCTTGCTGGTGAGCAGGGCTGGGGGACACCGGCTCTTGGGGAGGCATCTGGCCCCTCGCCCAGCCCCCGATGGGGAGCAGGGGGTGAGCCACAGTGGCCCAGCTGGGCCAGCACACCCTCCCCTCCACCCCCTGGGATGGGGTTCTCCCCAGGGCTCTTTTGCATGACACAGTGTAACCCTAGAGACTGGGATCGTTTTTAAGCCCTCTGTTCTTTTTCCCGGCGGCTGGAAGTCTCTCCGGATTCGCCGCAGCCGCTTGCAATACACGCTCTTCTGCTTTGAACCCGGTGTCTTTGCTTTGCTCGCAGCAGGGTAAGGCTGCCCTGGCCCAGAGTGTTTCATATCCCCTCTCCCAGTGGCTCGTGTGTCCGAGGTGGGGCTGGCTGCACTTGCAGCTGCTCCAAACACCCCATTCCAGCAGCACAGTGACACCAACTGCCTTTGGCCAAGTGCATCCAGGGCCCAGCCCCAGGAGGAGCCAGCCCAGCTCTGACTGCAGAGACCCCCCAAGCCAATGGCAGGGCTGTGCTGAGCCATTGGCTCCCCGTGTGACACCCACAGGTCCTGGTGCCTTGCTGTGACCTGTCCCCTCTTTGCCAGGTCCCTCGGAGGTCGCTGTCCCTGCGGGGCCCTCTCCCAGCAAAGCTGTGCCCCTGCATCTCTGTGCTCACCAGTCAATAATTAATTTGAATCTCTTATTTGTGTTGCTAAAATAAACAGTGTAGGAGCGATGGTTTCACCCTGGCTGCCTCTTGGCAGAGCCTGGGAGGGAGGGCTGGAGCTGGGGCTGGCTCTTGTGAGCTTCCTTGTGTGGAGCTGTGCTGGAGCTGCCACCTGCAGTCCTGCCCCACTGAATGGAATGGGCCAAGCTGGTGGCATCTGGAAGGAGCCAGGGCTGTGCACCTTGTTTCCCAGCTGTGGTGGCCTGAGCACGTCAAGGCCAGGGTGGAGTCCTGCTGGGAGTGGGGGTGGTCTGTGAGGCAGGGAGTGTGCCCAGAGCCCACCCAGGGGACACAGAGAAGAGAGACAACTGCCTGTGAAACACAGGTGAAGCCACATGGAGATCTGGGTGGTGGGGAGGGGAAGCTGCTTGTGACTGTTCCAGGGTCACCAGGAGCCATAGGATTGGAAAATCAAGTGCTAGACCAGAGACCTGGACATCTGACTAATCAGAGAGAGCTCATGGGGACATGGCATAGCCCAAAAGTGTCAGACTGTGGTTGCTGAGTCCCCAGGGATGGCACAGGAGAGGCAACACAGGAGAGAGTATCTCTATGGTCCCTAGTGTTAGCCCACGACAGTGAGTGGCCACCAGGGCAGTGTGACTCCAACTCCACCAGTCCCCCGAGGCCTGGCAGCACAGCCCTGGTGCACCTGCCCTTCCCCAGCCCCCCATGACATTTTACAGCCCTGTAAAACGGGGAGGGCTCACGGCGCTGCAGGGGCTGCAAACTACACCAGGCATGACACCTGGGTGCCAGCCCAGACACCTGTGCAGTTTGCCACCAGCCCCCGAGGAGCTTGGTTTTGTCCACATGGCAGCAATGCAGAAGGACAAACAGCCCTTACATGGGGCATGACATCCCTGGGAGCCCTTCAAGGAGTGCTTACAAGCAGGCTGAGCCCACATGGCAGGGCTGGTGGCCCAGGGCACACCCAGGACAGACATTCCCATGAGAATGGGAAAATGTAGTTGCTGTTGTGTTTGAGGATGTGCCTGGAGCAGGGCTGGAGGGCCTTCATTGCTTCAGTGTGAGAAGCAGAGACACTTAGCACAGGGAGTCAGCCATCCCCTGCAGAGCCCCAGCCCTGCCACCACCCCGTGTGCCTTTCCTTGTTCACAACACCCAAGCCCTGCTCCAGCAGCACCTTGTTCATGGCTGGGTGCTCCACCATCCCACACAGGCTCCACGTGTTCCCCCAGCCCTCCCCTTTGCCTCCTTGGAGCCGCCCACCATTGTTCATCCCCAGCTCTGTCGGCATGGCATGGCCACAAAATCCGGGCATGCTGAGCTGCTTTGGAGTGGGGATGTGCCAAGTCTGGGCAAGCCTGTACTGAGCCTGGTTCAGGCACCAGCCATGGCACAAGTGTCTCCTGAGCTGAGCCCGGGGCTGTGCTCACCTGGGTGTCCTCGGTGTCACCCCACAGCTTCCTGCAGCCCCGTGCACTGCTCCTGCAGCTGGCCCAGCACCTCCCTGCCCACACCCAGCCCCTGGGGAGGACATGTAGCCCTGGGTGAAACAGGGAGGCTGCAGGACCCGGGCAAGGCAGGGAGGTGAGCTTATGGGTGGCCCCAGAAAGTGGCTAGTGAGGACATCCTGAGAGATGCCCCCGTGTGTCCCCGGCAAGTGGGATGTGGGGTTGCAGCTCCCAGGCACTTGGGCATGGGATGGGCACCTTCTCCATCCTGCAGGTGCTTCATCTCACACAGCACCTTCTCCAGACAGGCAGCCACATCCTCCAAAGTCCCTGAGACAGCTAAAAACACACACCAAAGCTTTGCTCCAGACAGTGCTCACTCCTGCAGGCCCCCAGCACAGCGCTGTCCCAAACCCAGGCGGCTTTACGGCTGTGGAGACCCCCTGGCACTGCTGACAGGCCCTGGGCACAGCCCTACCAGGGCATGGGGCAGAGGGACAAGGGGGCTGCAGTGGCTTGGGGACCTGGATGGGCTGGCTGAGCGTGGCCCTGCCATTCACCTGGCAAAGGTCTGGTGGCACAGCCTGGCATGGCAGCCTGGTGTGACAGAGATGTCAGTGCTCATGGTGGCTGACACAGGTCCCCGTGGCCTCGTGCTGCTCCAGCAGCCAGCCCAGCCTGCCTGGGGCTTTGTGGACCAGTACCTATAAGGCCTCAGGACTGAGCTCCCAACCAGAGAGTTTCTGAAACCAAACAGCCCCTGAGGTTTTGGGGAGAGAGAAGAGCCCCAGCCATCCCAGGGCATTGCCAGCAAAGGAGCCTGGCACCCGGGAGCCTGCAGCACCTTACCAGCGGGCGTCCCACAGAGAGGGTTCCAGTGCAGCTCCCGATGCACCTCCACCTGTGCCTGGGAGAGAAATCAGCCTTTCCACCCTGGTCCAGGAGGGGAGAGCCTAGGCAGCCCCTGGGATGGGTAGGGAGACTCCAAACCTTGCCACCACGGTGCCATTTCCAGCCCTGTGGGTCTCCCAGGACCTCAAAATCTAGAGGGCAAAATCCTCCTGGCACTGCAGGAGCAACAAGAGCAGTGGGGTAACTGGGACAGTGGGATACCCAGGGATGGATGTCTGCTCCAGTGGCTGGGAGAGTGACATGGACCCTGCCAGAAGAACCTTGCAAGGCCAGTTGCTCACCCAGGCAGGTCACTGCAGCCAGGGCAGCCCCTGGGAGGCTTCAGTGCATTTTCCATAAGGATTTGCCAAAGTTCCTCATTTCTATTGCCCCATGCACCCTTGCTATCCATGCAGGTCCCCAGGGAGCCCAACCACTCTGCAAACAGCCCTACAGTAACTGCCCCAGCTCTGTGCATGCACCTCCTGGAAATTATCCTTCAGGAGCTGCAGCTGGAAGCCTTCAACAGTGGTTTTCAGGGAGCAGATGGTGGTGGTGATCTCCTGCAGCATGTCTGTGACCTGAGGAATATGGGTTTGATCGGTGATGCTGGGTCCCCACAGGCATGGGGATATGGAAAGAAGGGAAGCTAGCACTTGCAGAGAAGATTGGAGCTTGAGGATGTTTCTCGGGGAGCCACAGGGCTGCCACAGCATCAGCCACATCTGCCCAGCCCATGGCCAGGCCCATGGAGCTCCCCCAAACTGAAGTGAAAGATATGCAAAGGGGACAAATGTCCCAGAAGAGCTGTCACCTTTTCTCTTTGCTCTGTGGTTGTGCTCAAAGCCAAGGTCACAACGTGTGAGATGGACTGGCCTGGGGCTGTCAGGTCTCCCAAGGGGTGAAGAAGTGCTGGGTTTGCTGTGGGCCAGTCTCATGTTGCCTGTGGAGAAGACAGCAGGGCACAAGGCTACCACAACTCATTCTTGCACTGCAGTGTGCGAGCAAGGCAGATATTTCTGATGTTACCTACAGCATTTCCCACTCAGAGCCTAAACTTGAACTTGTGCTGTGGCAATGTCTCCTACAGGATCCTGCCTTGACATGGGGATATCCTGCTTGAGAGGCAGCACCGCTGTCACCTGCAGCTCAGCCATGCTGTGCACAGGGAAGGGAGGAGAAGAGGAGCCTGCCAGGGATGCTGCTGTCCCTACCAGGGAACTGGGGGCTGTGTGCTCCAGCCCAGGGTGACCCCAGCCCCCAGGCACAGCTGCCAGGGCAGGATGGGACTCAACAGACCTAAATCTCAGAGCTGGAGCCACAGGGGCAGGTGAGAAGTGACTGAGACCACCCGTGGCTGGTGTTAAAATATTGCTCTTTAATTATTCCCCAACCTGAAGCTGGGGCCCATGGAACCAGAAAGGTGCCTCTGCACTTCCCTAGGCTCCCAGGTCCTGGAGTAGCAGGTGCCATGGCATGGACATGTCGCTGTGTAGGGCAGGACACGGCGTGGCACCACAGGGGACAGGTGGGACACTGTGTAGGGCACAACTCAATGGGGCAGGTCAGTGCATGGGCAGGACCCTGTGAGGGGTGGGATGGCACCAGAGCAGGGCATCGTGTGGGGCATTCGGGGCATGAGCTGGGACACCTTGTAGGGCAGGAGGTGTGTGCAGGACAGGGCTGTTCAGCCTGGAGAAGGTCTCTCTGGGGAGACCTCAGAGCCTTTCTAGTGCCTAAAGGGGCTCCAAGAGAGCTGGGGAGGGACTTTGGACAAGGCCTTGGAGTGACAGGACAAGGGGGAACGGCTTCGAGCTGGAAGGGGAAATTTAGGTTAAGATATATGGAAAAAATTCCCCCCTGTGTGGGTAGTGAGGCCCTGGCACAGGTTGCCCAGAGAAGCTGTGGCTGCCCCGGTCCTGGAAGTGTCCAAGGCCAGGTTGGACGGGGCTTGGAGCAACCTGGGCTAGTGGAAGGCGTCCCTGCCCGTGGCAGGGGGTGGAACAAGATGATCTTTCAGGTCCATGCTTTAAACCATGCAGTGGCTCCCCGCAGCTACCCGGGGAGCGGGCCCGGCCCCGGGCCCTGCCTGGCGCGGCCGGCGGGGGCTGCAGGCCCTGCCCGTCCCCGGGCCGGCCCAGCGCGGACCGGGCCCGCCCCGCCGCCCGCCCCGCCCCGCCCGCCGCCGGCAGGTGCCGGAGCCGCCGCCGGGAGCCGGAGGCCGGTAGGTGCCTGCGGGAGAGGCCCCGCTCGGGGCCCGGGGGGCGGCGGGGCCGGGGGGCGGCAGGAGGGCGGCCCGGGGACCCCCCGGCCCCGGCCAGGCCGCGGCGGCCTCACGGCAGCGGGGGGACACACCGAGGACAGGGGGGACACAGCGGGCAGCGGGGAGGACACTGAGCCGTGGAGGGACGCTGAGCACCGCGGGGGACACGGGCGCCGCTGGGAAGGGAAGGGGTGGGAACGAATCCCGGGTTAACTCTGCGAGGAGGGACCCGGGCTCGGTGCCGGGCCGTGTCTGGAGCGTCTGCGGCGGAGCCGCGGGGAAGAGGCACGGCTGGATGGGGACACGGACCGGGAGAGGAGGAGGAGGCGGCCCCGGCTTCGGACGGGCCTTTAACGCTGACCAAGTGCCGCAGGGCGCTGGTAAAATCTTAGAAAGCTTCAGCTCGGTGCCCTCGACAGGGCCGGGGAGGGTTGGGG